CTCATGCTCTGTTCAGTGAGACAATGAACAGAAATAACAGTACAAAGTGAGTCTGGAGGTAGAGAAAGGAAGCGGGAAGACGGCTCGAGAGGGTTGCTGGTGGTCTTATTCACTAGGGTGATCAGGGAAGGTCTTCTTGAGAAAGTTGAGCGAAGGCCCAAAAGTGGTGAGGGAGCAAAGAATGCTCCAGAAAGAGGAACTGGCAGGTGCAAAGGTCCTGGGGCCAGAATGGGAGTGTCCAGGAAGGCGAGGAACTATTGAGGGCCTGGAAGAGCTGGGAGCGAGTGAACGAGGGGAGAGGGTAGGGAGGTGAGGTTCGAAAGGGGGTTAGAGCGTGGCAAGGACCCTTCTGAGGTGGGAGCCACAGGAGGGTTCTGAGCAGAGCGACGTGAGCTGATTTCGTTCTATCAGGCGCCCTCTGGCGGTTAAGTGGGAAACAGGATGTGAGCAGAGAGCCGGAGCCCAGAGAGGAGGCGACTGTGATGACTGAGGCTGGGATGGTGGCCACCACGCAGGCTCTGTAGGGTGGGAATAAAGGTGGGGCCGATGGCATTCCCTGAGCCATTGAGTGTGGATGCGAGGGAAAAAGAGGAGTTTGGGTTTTGGCTTGAGCGGATGGAAGGAGGAAGGGGCCAAGAGAATAATAATAATCGTGATAATAATTCTAACTGCAGTTCTCACATTCTGTGCACCTACTGTGTGCCTGACCTCGTTAAATCCTTATGACTATTCTGAGAGGCAGGAGGTGGAGGTGGGGGATGTGGTCGGATTCTGACTTATTTAGATTTATTTATTTTGAAAGTATAGTCTACATGATTGCTCAGTAGCTCTTTGTGGACACAAGGGATAATAGCAATGATGGCAAACACACTTAGTGTGTGACTGGCACTGTTCTCAGCACTTATTTAATCCTCACAACATGTTAACATAAGTACCAATTTACATATGCAGAAACTGAGGCACAGCCTAGCTAAGTACGTTGCCTAGCACATTACTACTAATAATTATAATTATTTAATTATAGAGGTGGTAGAGGGTGCTCTGGGAGTCAGGAAGATCCCTCCCTCTAGGTTCAAATCATGGCTGGACGTGAGACTTTGGGCAGCTCACAATGTCTCCAGGCTTTGGTGTCCTGCTTTGTAAAATGGAAATTAGAAGCATGGGGCTTTGGAGATAAGTTTATGAGATAATGCAAATAACAAAAGTGAGGCCAAGAGGAAGAAAACGCTCTTTATGTGTTAGTACGGACTCTCTTTCAGGGCTGGGAATACAGCAATAGACAAAGCCAGTCAGGACTTTCAAGCAATCATGAAAAAATACTCAGTCACACCGAGGGGCCTACAAGCTTTGAGTCTTGTGTCACCTCCTCCAGGCAGTACCCTCTGTTTGTCTCTCTGCCGCCCCCAGGCTCATAGGGGCTCATCTTGTCTGTACCTGGGCCTGAGCTGCTTGTGTCAGATAATGTGCCATCCTTTGTCTCCTATAGGGCCTGCCTCAGTTTCCCTTTTCACCTGTAGAGCTGGTTATTGGAGCCACCATATTCCTTCCCTTCACCTGGACTCCCCCTCATTCGTCTGGCTTGCCCCCGCGTTTCACGCTGGCCGCGGCACAAAGTAGTTTCCACGGTACACGGTCTATTTGTTGAATGAATGCTTGTCTGGCGTCTAAAGCGGCAGACTGTGCGCCACACTGCCCTCTGGTGGCGAGTGGGAAACTCGCACCACGAAAGTCGGCCGGCTTGGCGCTCAGCCTTCTCCCAGACCTTCCGGTAGCCTGATAATTACGTACTAATGACAGAATTTAATTCCATTTCACATATAAACTCAAATTATTTCTTACGATTATTTTTTGAACTTCAAAACTGTTTAAACGTTGTTCAAAGTGAGGCACAAGTTACATACTTCTGTAAAAACCACAAATGCCAATCAGTGTAATTAGCACCCCAGGGAAGGAACGGAGCAAGTCCCCCAGGACCTCCCGCCAGGCCCCTTCTAGTCTCTGTCCTCTGGATAATGATCATCCTCAGTTCTAACAGCAGAGCTTAGGTTTGCTGAGAACTTGGTGTAAATGGAACCATGCAGGATGTGCTGTGCGTCTGCCTGGCTTGTGTCACTCAGCGTAACGTCTGTGATGTTCATCCATGTTGTTGAGCATAGGTTGAGACTGTTCGTTTCTGCTGACTCGTATCCCCGAGTATGCCGGCACCTCAGTGATTATCCGTCCTACTGTCCACAGACATTCTGGTTGATTCCAATTCGGGGCAGGATTTGTTGCCACAATAAGGAGCACAGACTAGGTGGCTTAAATCACAGAAATTCGTTTGCACGTGATTCTGGAGGCTGGAAGTCCAAGATCCAGGTGTGGGCAGGGCTGGTTTCTTCTGAAGCTTCTCTCTCTGGCTTGTGGATGGCTGCCTTCTCCCGGTCTTCCTGTGGTCACTCCCCATCCATTTACATCCTAATCTCTTTTTATAAGGACACCAGCCCACCCTCATGACTTCGTTTCACTTAATTACCTCTGTAAAAGGCCTCTAGCCAAGTAAGTTCACACTATTAAATATGGGGGTGGGGAGGTTAGAAGTTCAACATATGGATTTGGGGTGGGGCACACATCAGCCCCTGAGACGGGCCATTGTGTTAAAGGGGCTATGAACATTTCTGTACATGGCATGGCTTTTGGTGACTGCACACATGCATTTCTGTTGGGTAAATCCCTCAGAGTGGATTTGCTGACTCATACCCCGGGAGCCAAACAGTCCACAGCGGCTGGAGCATTTTACATCCCATCCAGCAGTGGGTGAGCGTCCTGGCTGCTCCACATCCTTGTCAGCACTTGACATTGTCAGGCCCTGTCATTTTGAGACATTCTTTTGTGGGTAACTGCAAAGTATTATTTGCATGATTTTAATGTAACCTGTATTTCCCAGGATGCATCTGCTTTTTTCGAAGGAGAATTGTAGCATGTTTTGTTAATAAGTCAGTTAAGGGTTAGGCACCATTTCTGATAATAATATCACCACTGCCATGCCACTTCTGGTGTCAAAGTCACATCAAAGTGTCTGAGGACAGCATCTGTGTGTGTTGTCCCAGATGTCACATTCAAGCTGGGTCCTTATATATACATTCATACACTCACACATGCTCACTTAACCCTTCCTCAAACATGAATATAAATCTCAAAAATAACATGTATAAAAGTATGTATGGTATAAATAATACACATAAATACAAATATAAAATATATAATAGTTGTAATAAACAACATAAATAACAAACATATATAATATATATAAAATACATAAGTACTTTATAATTAAATGAAATGTTATAATTAAATACAATAAACCTCAAATATATAAAAAGGGTGTTGACAATATTCCACTAGTGAGTGTGTGAATTCTCTTATACTCAAACACATTCATTATAAGTAGGTGAACGTGTTGGACTATTTCTTGATGTTTTCCTGTGTAGTGGTACAAATGTATTTTTACATATGTCTCTTTATTATAAATTAATTTCTAAAAGGTCTTTATGTTACATTAGGTAATTATATTGATTTTTTAAGTGATATATGTAGGTAGGACATACTCTCTAGACATTTCATCTCAGGAAGGTACAGTAATGTTAGGAAAGGGTTGTTATAAAGGGCACTTGGGATTCAATAATGCTGGAAACTGCTGGTCTAGTGGGTTAGTGAGACGCGACGTCTCCATGAGAATCAGGATGCTTTAGCTGTTCAATTAAGTATGGAGACCTACTGTGTGCATGGCCCTGTGCTGGACAGTGCTGGGGACACAATTTGGTCCTTTCTCTGGGGCAGAGACAAGCCCAAACCTGCCCCCACAGGGCTCAGAGTCCAGTGGGGGACACAGATCTGCCCCTGGGCAGTGAGGACCCTGAATGGACAGTGAGAATCCAGGTGGACTGGGACAACCCCAAGGGTCATCTAGCCTGGGGTCAAGGTAAGCCTGGAGAAAGAGGTGTTGCAAGCAGGAAAAGCCTATGTTAATGCCCAGGTAGGAGGGAGAGTGCATTATCTTCAAGGAACCAAAAATTTCATTCAGTGTGGCTACAGTAGGATTTCTCAGCTGCGGCTATGGTGCCCTGAGCAGCCTCCCTCCATCTGAAAGATTCTGTGGAGGGCCGGGCCACGTGGAGGCTGGCAAGTCTCTGAGACTGGGTTCAGATCCTGGCCCTGCCACCGCAGTGGGTTGAATGGCAGCCCCTAAGTTATGTCCACCCAGAACTTCAGATTGTGACCTTATTTGGAATAAGAGTCTTTGCAGGTGTAGTTAGAGTACAGATCTCAGGATGAGATCATCCTGGGCCAGGGTGTGCCTGAAACCTAATCACAGGTGTCCCTGTAAGAGGCAGAAGTGGGGAAGACACAGACGCAGAGAGGAAGGCCGTGCGAAGACCCAGACAGAGACAGGAGTGACATGCCCATAAGCCAAGACTGCGAAGACTCTCCAGCGGCTCCCAGAAGCTGGGAGAGGCAGGGAACAAATTCCTCCTCAGAGCCTCCAGAAGGAACCAACCCTGCTGACACCTTGATTCCAGACTTCTGGCCTCCAGGACGGTGAGAGGATACATTTCTGCTGTCTGAAGTCACACCATTTGTAGTAATTTGCTATGGCAGCCCCAGGAAACAAAGATAGCTGCTTAGCAGCTGGCACACCTTGGGTAGGGGACGCTCACTGAGCCTGCTGTCCTCTCTGCAAAATGGGTACAAACAAGGCACTTACCTTTCAGGACAATGATAACGGACTATAAGAGAGTGTTCCCTTCACCAAAAGTTAGCAAACATTTGTGCGCTGGACTATTTGATTTTGTGGTGGTGGGGGGTTTAGGTCACAGTAGTGACAGTTCAATGCACCCTTTGTGGCTAGGCACTGCTTTTGGTGCCTCTGGCTGCCCCTAAACAACACACACTTATGTTCTTACACTTTTGGGGGTTTGAGGTGCAAAATCAACTTCACGGGCCCAGATCAAGGTGTCAGCAAGGCCAGGCTCCCAGATCAGGAGCTTCAAGGGCACAATCAGTTTACTTACCTTTTCAAGTCCATTTTTCAGCTGTGTTCTTTGCACGTCTGTAAAGTCCCTTTTGCTGTATAAATGAACATTCACAGGGGCAGGGGCAGGATGTGGCCATCTTTGGGCCCTTCCACACCCAGTAGCCCAGTGGGGTGGGCCCTTACCCTCACTTTACAGATGAGGACACCAAGGTTCAGAAAAGTTAAGTAACTGCCTCAGGGTCCCACAGCTCCAGTCGGGATCTGAACCCAGGCATCCTGGGCGCAGAGCCCCTGCTCTTCTCTCTCTCCACACTACCTCTCTGCAGTCAAGCAGCCCCAGGTTCAGATTCTACGTCAGCCTGCTGAGTAGCTGATGACTTAGGGCCAGTGCCATCAGCTCTCTGGGCCTGTGTCTGCATCTTTAAAATAGGGGTGAGCCTGCTCACCTCCTTGGCTGGCTGGGAGGGGGGAGGAGATCACGACTGTTTGGGACTTGAGCCCGTGGCTTGGCTCCAGGCAGGTTACCCACTCAGGGGTAGCTTAACTGACCTTTGGATTCTTGCTGTGTCTCCCTGTCCTCACTGGCAAAGTGGAAATAATGATGAACACCCTTAGGTGCTCAGAGTGCTGGTGCAAAATGCTGAGTGCCTCAAGCAGAGAGTGTCAGGGTCCAGCTCGCTCCTAATGCCATCTTCCGGTCTCCTGTAGACATACAGAAAGTGCCCAGCTTCACTTTTTAATCAGCGAGAGGCAACTCAAACTACATCGGGACACCTCCCTTTGGTCAGCAGACTGGAAAAGATGAAAAAATGATAAAACGCAGTGTTGGTGAAGCTATGGGGAAGCGTGCACTCCTGTCCCGCTTGGCGGAGTGGAAGTGGGCCCAACTTCTTTGCTGAGCCACCACCATCAGAGGTGGCTTTACTGTGAGGCAGATGGAATGTAAGCTCTGGGACTTCCATTTCCATGACTCTGTCCAACACCCTGGGAGGTGCCTGTGGTGTACCTCCCTGAAGTGCTCTTTTATTCTCTTTCTTCAAGAGGGATTCCAACTTTGTTTAAACTTTAGGTCCTGTGCACCTTGGGTCCGCCTCTGCCCATTTTTACTGGGATGTAAAAATGTGAATTAGCCTTTGATCCAGTAATTTGTCTTCTTAGAAGCTATAATCATGGTCTCCATTTATTGAGAACTTACAATTTTTCAGATCGGTGCCAGGCACTTTATGTGTATTCATTCATTAATCCATTGAATTCTGTACACCAAACCTAGCAGGGAGGTGCTATGATATCTAGTTTCTCTATGAAGAAGCTCAAGTCCAGATAGGTTTCATATATTGCTCAAGGTCACACAGCTGGTAAGTGACAGAAACAGGATTCACACCCAGCTCTTCTGGCCTCAGAGTGCATGCTTCTTAACCATGACATTACGAGTCCTTTTTGAGCAAGTTCCAGATTATATACTCACAAAGATGTGTGCCCACAGAACTTCAATGCAACATTGTTGGCAATATCCCTAAATTGTAAACTCAAATGTCCATGAGACCTGGTGGGACGAATTAAGGCCCATCTCTAGGGTGGAATATCACACAGCAGTGTGAAATATTGTCAACCATCCATTGTTAAGTTGAAGATATAGAAGTTCAGTTCAGTATACTTTTTGTTTTATAAAAAGGGCAGAAGATAGCAGTAATAAAGATGCACTCATTCAGTAGGCAAACATTATTTGAGAGCCTACTATGTACGACACACTGTTGGTGGCACTGGGGACATAGCAAGGTATAAAACAGTATAATGGAGACAGATAAGGAACAAGTAAGTGAATAAAACATATGGCAGTTTAGAGGGTGAATAATAAAATGGAGAAATAAAGTTGGAAGAGGAAAAGGGATGAGAGGTTTTGCAATTTTCAAAGAAGTGGTTTCAAGCAAGGTCCCTAAGAGGAGGTGATGTTGAATAAAGAGCTTGAAGAAGTGATGCAGTGAACTTAGGAGGTTATTTGGGGACAAGAGAATTAAGTTGTATGTGTAAGAGCAAGTCTCTTTGAAGGGCTGTTAACAGCAACCACGTTAGGGGCAAGGGATTTCCAGGTACTTCCACTTTCCATGTTTTAAATCACAAAATAAAGTTACTTACAAACTCACAGAATCCGTCTGCCCTCTTACAGCTATCATCACCTCTGGCAAGGGTATTCTGTAGCATTTATCGCAGAAAAACAGAGAAACCTGGAGAAACAGGTTTATTATGGCTAAGTTTTGGTTAATGCATGTGACTCCCTGGGCTCTGTAGTGAAATTCAGCTGATCTTTCTCTGAGCTGCTTACAGTTTCTGGAATGCACCAAGTTCATTCACCACGGGGCCTTTGCACAGGTTGTGTGTCCTCTGCTTGGACTCGCTCTTATCCTCAGGCCTCTCCTCCTGCCCCTCTCGCAAGCTATCTCCCCCATTTCTGTTTCTGTTATTTCACATTTACTTTTCACGTTACTTCACATTCTCGGAAAGGCAGGGATGGGGTCAGCCTTGCTCATTGCTTTAACCCCTGCTCCTCCCCATCGCCTCCAGCCCAGAGCCTGGCACTTCGGCGCAGATTTAGAGAATGAAGGAAAGATTCTATCTGTTGGAAATTTTAAGCTTCTACAACTAACTCTAAGGTTTCATTGGCAAGAGAGTGAGGAATGCCTCCACCTACCCCCAGCACAAGCTGGCAGGTCAGGCTTCCAGGAGCCACTGCCCAGTGCCTGGCACTCATTTACTGGAGTCAGAAAAAAAGGGGAAGCAGGTAGAAGCTAGAGAGAAGATGGTGTTTTTCCCTTCCCTGTAAAGAGGTAATCCGGGCAGAAACTGAACAGGCTTCCAGAACACCCTTGGGGACTAGCTCTAACCACTCCCGCCTCCATCTGCGGGGGCGCGGCGCCTTTAAGGCTCCCGGAAACGGGCCGACAGGACCGGAAGTGGCCCTCTTTAGTTCCCTTCTTCACGTGGTGCCGGCGGGAAGTGACGCGCGTGACCCGGGAGCTGCAGACTCGGAGGCCGTCGGAGCCAGAGTAGCGGACGCCGCTGGGTCTCCGGGACAGGTGACCGAGGGAAGGGGCCGGGAGCGCACCCGGAGAGGGAGGGGCCTGATGCCCCACGCTGGGGGAGCGAGAGCTGGCTGGGTGGCGAGCTGCCGCGGGGGCGGGGCCAGAGTACTCTGCGGGGGGCGGGGACAGGATGCCCACATGGAAGCTAGAGGGGCCCTGGCGGGGCCGGACGTCGGCTAGTGGGCAGGGCCCGGGCAGGCCGGGCTGCGGGGAGTGGGGCGAGGCCGTTGCGTGGGTGGGCAGTTGGAGGCGGGACCGAAAAGTTGTGTTTGGGCTTGGGGCGGGGCCAAAATGTTGCCCGGCTGGCTGGGGGCGGTGTCGGATTGCTGGCCGAATGCACTGGGGGCGGGGCCAGAAAGTTTTGCTAGTGCTTGAAGCGGCTCCACATCGTTGGCCTGGAAGCCACGGGTGGACACGGAGGCTTAACGCAGAAGTGTGGGCGGATCTAAGTTGGAGGTGAGCCAGGGGCGGGGCCTGAGTGTTGGCTGGGAGTCCTGGGGGTGGAGCCAGGAAGTTTTGCTGGAGTCAGGGGTGCGGCCAGAACGTAGGCGGGGAAGCCTTTCCGGAACCCAGAGCTTAGGCTGGGTTCCCCGGCAGCGGGGACAGATACTAACACGACGGGGTTGGGGGATGACGAGAAGCTTGGCTGAGCAAATTGGAGGCGGGGCCAGAGCGCTTGTTGGAGAGCTGGTGGGGGAGGGGGGACAGGACCTGTGTAATAACGCAAGAAGGGGGCGGTTTCGGGCTGTTGCCTGGGAATCCAGGGGGCGGGGCCTGAGTTGGCTGGGAAAGGCAGAAGCGGGTCCAGATTATGACGCAGGCGTGTGGGCGGGGCCAGAAAGTTTGTGTGGGTCGGGGCGGGGCTGTGGCGTTTCCAACCGGGTCAAGGCTGGAGTTATTCCCTGGAAAGCCTTAGGCGCGCGGGGAAGCTTTGTCAGCTCCCAGGAGGTTAAGAGTATTAACTGGGGAGGTCAAGCCAGACCCAGAAAGCCTCGTCAGTGGGTAACGGGCCTATTTTCGGAATCTTTGTTGGGTGCGGGAAGGCAGCGGTTCTTGTCTTGAGATGCTTGGGGCTGGGACAACTCTGATGGAGGCGTGGGTTTAGAATATTCTCTGAGGGTCCCTTTAGTTTATAGGAGTTAGGGGTTAGGGCTTTTTTTTGAGTGTGGGGTAATGGGACGGTTCTGACATTTTCCTGAGGAAGAGGCGGACCTAGAGTGTTTATGGGGATGTTAGTGGCACCAGAATGGGCACAGAGAGTTGGGCCCTCTTGTACAGGTTACTCGGGATGAAGGCTTAGATTAAAACTCCCAACAGAGGGATGTGGAGGCTGGACTAGAATTTTCCTGTGGAAGGGGATGTTTCCTTCAGCGGAGGGGCGGGGCCAGAACTTTCCCAGGGTGGGTGTGACTCAAGTGTTTACATAGGAATGGATGGGCCCAACTATTCACGAGGGTTTTTTTTTTTTTGCAAGTAAGGGGCAGGATAGCACCTTAAAGTAGGGGTGAGATGAGGGCTAGAATTTTTGTGGGGTGCAGGTGTTTGTGTTTGAGAAGAGCCCCTGGTACGGGAGAGGTAGAAACAGATTGGAGGGGCATGGGCATTGGCTTAGTCCGTCTGTTCCTTCTTCCCTCAGGGGTGCTGTGTTCAGATTCTGCAAGGGAATTTTTCTGGGACCCTGGCCTCCCTTTTCTGGGACCCTGGCCAGTGGAATGGTGAGATGGCAAGTGGGGTCTCCAGTCTGAGCTTTGGGGTGGGGGCTTGGGCGGAGGGGGATGCAAGACTCAGACCCTGGGTTGAATATCCCTGGGATGAGTGCAGGTTTTTCCTGCCCTCTGTCAGTTGTTTCCGTGTCTCAGGCAGCTGCACTGGATCTGAAATCGAAGGAGGAGAAGGATGCTGAGTTGGACAAAAGGATCGAGGCTCTTCGGAGAAAGAATGAGGCCCTTATTCGGCGCTACCAGGTGCCCTAGCCCTGCCCTGGGAGACCCTATCCCCTCTCCTCCCAGCAGTGAGTTTCCCTGACCTCTCCCTTCCTTAAAACTTTTCATGGCTCCCCATCACTTTCAGGACAAAAGCCAAAGGCCTTAGCCTGGAATTCCTTCCTTCATGCCATCATCTAGCACTCATTCACAGATACTCACCAAGATTGCTTCACTGTACCAGGCCCTGTGCTGAATGGTGCTGGGGAAATAACTGTGACAGACACAGCCCTGGGCCTGCCCTCCCAAAGTTCCCAGTCCAGTGGGGGCACAGACCTGTCTGCAGTCAGTGATGACCCAGAGTGGGCAAGGCTGAGACTGGGGAGTTCAGGAGTCTCTGGGAGCCTGTGTCTCAGGCAGCTGCACTGAATCTGAGGAGGGGTCTTCTTTAAACAAAAAAAATAAATAAATAATGCATATTGAGATTCTGTTGTATGCTAGATAGTGTTTTAATGTTCCAGTGTAGGGGATATTAGGGAGGGCTTCCTGGAGGAGGGGATTTTGAGACCTGAAGGGTGAGCCAGTTGAGGAGGAGACCAGAACACGTATCAAGAAAAGGGAACAGTTTGTGCAAAAACTTAGACCTTCAAGTTGGAGAGTCGGTTGGGGAATATTGACTTGGAGAGGTCAACAGGGGCCAGACTAAGAGGGCACTGGGGAGCCATGGAGGGCTTTGAGCAGGAGTGGGACCAGGTCAAAATAGTTTTTTAGGAAGACTCCCCTCTGGTTGCTATGGGGTGGCAGGTGGGGGGAGGTGGTACTGGAGATAAGAGACCAAGGAAGAAGCTGAGGCAGGGACCTCGGGTGGAGAGAAGGTACTTGGCCAGTGACAGGGCCGTTGGGAGGGACTCAGTGATTCACGGGCAGTGGTGAGAGTCAGGGAGAGGGAGAGAGGAGAGAGTCCAGGGCAAGGTCCAGGTTCCTGTTAAAGGTGACAGAGTAGGTGGTAGAGCTGTCCTTGAGATGGACCCTGGGAGGAGGAGTGTGTTTCATTTATTCATTTTTCATGCATTCATTCATTAAAAAAAAGCATTGAATTTCTCTTGTGTGCTAGGCACATTTTAGGCTCAGGGTATATATATCAGTGAACAAAACAGATAACCCTGTCCTAGGGCAGATTCTGTTTTGGGATGGGGGTTGGACAATGAGCAGAATACACATAATGCCAGGTGGTGACTGGGGGAAGGGATGAGGGAATGGCAGGGGACCTGATCAGGGAAAGCCTCCCTGAGAAGGACATTTGAGTAGAGACCGAAGGGGATGAGGGACTGAAGGAGCTCTGCAGGCCGAGTGTTCGGCAGAGGAAACCACAGGTACAGAGGACCAGGTGCAAGTCTGAACGTGGTATGTTCTAGGAGCAGAGTGAGCAGTGGGGAGAGGGTGGGAGATGAGGTCAGGGTGCTGAGGCCAGACCCTGTCATGCCCCAAGGGCTATGGGGAAGCTTTTGGCTCTTCCTTGGAGATGGGTGCCGTAGGAGGGTTCTGAGCAGGGGAACAGCGCTACAGGAAGGTGCTGATGTGACCAGCTTTCTTGTTGAGAGCTCAGGAGAGAGGCCTGGGCTGGGGCCACGCTTGGTGGAGATTCTGGGCCGTGGGGACCCAGCTGGCGCCCAGGACCCCTGACACAGCCCTTCCTCTGATGTTTGCCCCCAGGAGATTGAGGAGGATCGTAAAAAAGCCGAACTGGATGGAGTGGCAGTGACAGCTCCGCGGAAAGGCCGTGCAGTGGAGGAGAATGTGGCAGTAGAGGTGGTGAGCTCCACACCAGGGTGGGGTACTTGGGAGGACAGGGACTGGGAGAGTTGAGGCCGGACACCCAGGAGCGCTCCCAGCGGCCCCACACCCTGTGGGTGGGCTTGGAGTGGGCAGCTGCCCCCTGGGCCTGGGGTGTCCCAGTCTCCCTGCCCCAGGGACTGTACTTTTTCTCCTTGTCCCCTTCCAGGAGAAGAACGTGGGTCCCTCCCGGAGGGCTCCTGGGACTCCTCGGCCCCCAGGGGCCAGCAAGGGAGCCCGGACCACCCCACAGCAGGGAGGCCGGGCTGGCATGGGCCGGGCATTCCACTGCTGGGAGGACAGTCCTGGTGAGCAGCCTCGAGGAGGAACTGGGGGCCGTGGTCGGAGGGGCCGGGCCAGAGGGTCCCCTCATCTCTCCAGAGCTGGCGATGCCACAGCAGCCGACCGCAAATCCAAGGTGGGTGCCAGAGGGAGCTGGCTGAGGTGGTCTCCCGTCTTGTTTCTCTAGTTCTACTCTCAGACCATTTTCCTGTCCATCTTTCTGTCTGTCTCTTCTCACCTGCATCTAGCTCCTCCTCTCCCAGCCAGTGCCCGAGTCTGCTTCCCGGTCTCCCTCCTCTTCGCTGTCCAGTGCTTGCTTGCCCACCTGCCCTCCCTTGCATCTCTGCTCTCCGTGGTTCTGTCTGTCTGTCTGTCTCTGGTGGACTCTGATTATCGTGCACACCCCCTGTTGGTCTCACTCCTTGGATTTGTTTAGGGAGCAGTGGTGTTCTCATTGTAACTGCTTCTGCCACTCATATGCTCAGGTTAGCAGGGTGGGAGGCCGTGTAGCATAGTGGCTTAGAGCCCACCCTGAACTTGGTGTCAGCCTGGTTCTGTTAGTTCCCTGAGCTTGGGCAGCTCACTTCTCCGGGAGGTTCCGGGCAGCTCACTTCCACGGGAGGTTCTGGTTCTCACTCTGAGATGGGAATGATAATCAGGTTTAAAGGTTATGATCAGCATTGTGTGACATCAGGTATTGAAACTCTCAGAGGAAGTGCTGAGTGAATGTAACTTAGAAATGTTTATTATTTGTACACACTAGGCTACTGTAGCAAAAAGAACCCCAAATGCCCTAGCATAAACTAAGTGGAAGTTTATTTCTCTCTTGTGTGCTGAGCCCTGGGAATGAAAACTTCATCCCCAGCAGCTTGGCCATGTGCTCATCTAAAATTCTCTTACCTTGGAAGAAGGTGAGGGTGGCTTGGGGGTGGGGGTCACCCAGCCACCTGCCAAGTTATTCCTCTGTATTACTGCCATTATTACTGTGGAAACTAGGAGGCATTGGGATCACCAACCCCTCTTTCAGGGTCAGCTTTTTGCCAGAAAGATTATTACAATGAAAGGTTACAAAGCACAGTCAGCAAAGGGAAGAGGCGCACGGGCTGAAGTCTGGAGGAAACCAGAACGCTGGAGACTGGGGCCCAGGGTTTTTTTGGGGCCTGGTCATGTGGGTGCCCTCTGCCTAGTACGTACCCAGAATCCACACCCCCGGAAGGAAAGCAGGTGGTCGACATACACCATGGTATTTGCGCAGACAGTAAAGGCCGGTGAGCCTGAGCACCAGGCAAGGGCCCGCTGTGAAAGCCAGCCGAAGGAGAGAGGCTCAGGTCCGCCGTGTTAACCCCTCGGCACAAATGGTAACACACACTCAGGTCCTGATGCCCAGGGTCTGTGTCATCCTCCTCCAGGAGTGGGAGGAGCGGCGCAGGCAGAACATCGAGAAAATGAACGAAGAGATGGAGAAGATTGCAGAGTATGAGCGCAACCAGCGGGTCAGTGCCACCAGCATCCCTTCGCGCGGCAGAGCCGCCAGGCCCCGTGAGCCTGCTAACCCCACACCCTGTGGCCGCAGGAAGGCGTGCTGGAGCCCAACCCCGTGCGGAACTTCCTGGATGACCCCCGACGACGCAGCGGGCCCCTGGAGGAGCCTGAGCGGGACCGCCGGGAAGGCAGCCGCCGGCACGGGCGTAACTGGGGGGGTCCCGACTTTGAGCGAGTGCGCTGTGGCCTCGAGCAGGAGCGGCAGGTAGGAGCTGGCATTCTGCAGCCAGCATCTCGTTTCAGCAGCATACGCTTAGTGGGGGTGCGAATGTCAGGCACAGCTGCGAGTGAGACTGAGCAGAGAGGCCGCCTCCTTGCACTCCCGTCTCCAGCCCTAGTCCCTTGTGGGTTCTTGTGCTGTCACTGTGCGCCTACCTTTTCACAGCCTCATGGCCTGTTCTGGTGACGTCCTCTCCTTACTAACGCTCATGACGTTCCCTGGGCACCTGCTGGGCGCCGGCACTGTCTCAGGTGCTAAGTTGTGAACAAGGCAGGGCCACTGCCCTATTGAAGTTTATTCTGGTGGTTAGTAAGTGGGTATAAAGAAGACGTCAGGTGATGCCAAAGGTTGTGAAGAAAGATTCAGTAGGGGTAGGGGACAGAAAAGTAGAGGGGGTACTGTCTTCAGAGGGACCTGGGCTGCCCTCTCTGAGGAGGTGGCAGGTGAGCAGACCTGGTTCTAGTCTCTGCCCTGTCACCTCCTCCTGTGTGGTCTTGAGCAGGTGGCTGTATCCCCGAGCTCAGAGGGAATGGGGTGGGGTGGGGTGGGTTGTAGAACGGGGCCTTGACCGTCTGTCCACTGGGGACAGGGCCGCCGGGCCGGCCTGGGCGGTGCTCAGGACATGACACTCTCCATGACGGGCCGTGAGCGTTCGGAGTACCTGCGCTGGAAGCAGGAGAGGGAGAAGATTGACCAAGAGCGGCTGCAGAGACACCGCAAGCCCACTGGCCAGTGGCGGCGGGAGTGGGACGCTGAGAAGACTGATGGAATGTGAGTCCCCACTTGCCTGTTTAGCCCATTCTGGGGTTCAGGCCGAGGGGAGCAGCTACTGGGGAAATGCTGGTCCTGGCAAATGCAGGGCGAGGAAGGGACACGCTTTCCCCATTCTATTAGCCAACAGGCCCAGCTGTGGCCGGGAATTAAGTTGCCGCTCTCACGGGTGGTACTGCCGGTGTGGATGTCAGGTCTAATGCAGGGAGGGCCTGAGGAATTGATAACAGATAGACCTTTGTGTCCTTCCTTCATCCCTCTAATCTATCCCCCACAAACACGAGCCCTTTGTTCTGGTGGCATTAGTATCTTCAAGTCCTACTGTGTCCTCTTTTGGGTCTCCGGGAACATCCAGTTAGTCCAACTTAAAGGCATCATTGCATTATTGACAGGAGGACCAAGGTCCTACCAAGGGTGGAGAAGGTTCTAAAAGAGCGGAATGGCAGTCTTAGGATCCGCAACTATAGTTCTCACCCTGTTCTCCATCCTTCGCTGCACTGGAGGTTTGCACACCCGTAAGTCTGTCAGTGCCAGCTAGAGGAGGAGGGCTCTTCTCCAGGTCTGGTGGTTGGGATGTGCATTTTGGGATTGTGAACTAAGCTGGTGCAAGCATGAGAAATATTTTGCATAGATACTGTAGCTGATCTTAGATATAGGCAGCTGAGCTTTTTGGGAAATGTTCACAGGGTTAACAACAAGAAAGTAATTGTTTTCTTCTTGGTGTCCCCAGAGCAGCTTCTAAGAAGCTTCTTTAACATGTGTGTTGATTTCATCAGCAAGTGTTTGAGTCCTTCGGTGTGTCACGCAAGGTTCTAGGTTATGGGGACACAGCAGTGAACAAAACACTTCTGTTTTCATGGAACTGAGAGACTAGTTGGAAAGATGGGCAATCAACAGATCTTAACAGCGGCTCATGAAGAATGAAGCACGGTGTGGAGAGGAATGGAAGCTGTTGTTTTAGACTCCGATGATGTATGTCATAGTATATGATTACGTTAGAGGTGGTTTAGGAAGGCCTCTGAGTTGACGCCTGAAGGAGGTGAGAGAGAGGGTCATTGAAAGATCTGGGGAAGATTGTCAGCAGGAGCAGAAGGTGCAGAGGCCCTGAGACGAGCTCTGTGTGGCAGGAAAATCTGCTTAGCTGGCAAGCTGAGAGAGGAAGTGACAGGATCACGCACTTTGCAAATTTTTGTTCTGGTGGTCAAATACTGATTTTTTTTTTATTAAGGTGTCATTGATATGCACTCTTATGAAGGTTTTACAGGAAAAACAATGTGGTTGCTACATTCACCCGTATTGTCAAGTCCCCCCCATACCCCATTGCAGTCACTGTCCATCAGTGTCAAATACTGAATTTTTTTTCTGTACTTGTTATTGTGTTGTCAGATTTGCCTCTTGTCCATCACCTGACCCTGTCCCCCTTTCCAATCAGTGACCGTCTCTCCTTCTATGGTACTGATTTCTGACACTTGCCCTCATCCCTTCCCTCCTGTCCCCACTGTTCCCCCAGCTGCCCGCTCACCCCCTTTCTTTTTCCCCAGGTTCAAGGATGGCCCAGCTGCTGCCCTCGAACCATCGCACCGCTATGGTGAGTGGGTGTTCCTGAGTGGGGCGAGGCAGCTGGTTGGGCCAAGTGAGGGGGCAGGGGTGGTTGGTGCTGTGCCCCCTGCCCCTGATTGCTAGGTTTTGTTGCAGATGACCAGGCCTGGGCCCGGCCACCCAAGCCCCCCACTTTCCGGGAGTTCCTGTCCCAGCACAAAGCTGAGGTCAGTCGCAGGAGGAGGAAGAGCAGCCGACCCCAGACCAGGGCAGCCCCCCGTGCCTACAGGTGCGACACCCTTTTCCCTGGTGTGTGCGCCGCCACCGTGAGTCTGTGCGGCTTTCTCTGGCTGCGCTCTGACGTGTGTGTGGTGCGTCGGTCTGTGCTGTCTTGGCCCTGTCTCTTGGTCACTTGTCTCCCTATGGGTCAGGGATTTGGTTTTAGGGGGTTGGGGCCTTTACCTCATCTCCCACCCATCTCAACTTCTCCCTCTCCATTTACCTGTTCCTGACGCCTGGGGACACGTGCCCACCATTCCCTCCTCAGTGTACCAGCATCCCCAGTCCTCACCTGGGAATCCTGAAGCTTTTCTCTGGGGAGGAGCCAGAGGTGGGAAGCTCCGTCTTCCTGTTCACCCGGGCCTCATGCCTTCCCTGTGTCCCCTCCAGTGACCACGATGACCGCTGGGAGACGAAGGAGGCAGTGTCCCCAGCCCCTGAGGCCCCACAGACCCCTCCTCCTGAGGAGACACCCACGCAAGTAAGGCGGGCTGTCATCCCTGGGTGGGGGTGTGGGGGTGCTCAGGGCCCGCACCCTCTTCCCGACCTGCCTTTTGTTCCCCACAGCCACCCGAGACCCCAGCCCCTGCCCACCGGCCTCCAGAGGATGAGGGGGAGGAGGAGCAGGAGGAGGCGGTAGAGGAAGACGACGGGGAGGATGAGGAATGGGAAGACGTGAGTGAGGACGAGGAGGAGATGGAGGAGGAAGAGGCTGACGGGGAAGAGGAAGAACCAGCGCAAGATCACCAGCTCCGAGAGGCAGCGCCAGCTGGGAGCCCCACCAGTGAGCCGGCAGACGAAGAGCCCTCCAGGCCCGAGGAGCCTCGGCCACATCCCCAGACCCCGGCCCCGCCTTCCAGTCCTTTCTCGCCCCCTGGGGGCCACCAGCCTGTGTCCGACTGGGGTGAAGAGATGGAGCTGAATTCTCCCCGGACCGCCCACCCGGCTGATGCCCTCTCTCTGGGTGAGGCCTGGCCTTTTGGAAATGCATGAGGCTGGCTCAAGGGGTGCATGGGCAGGGGAGACCCTCGGGCTGGGCCAGGGAACCCACGTGCCCTACTGCCCTGGTGGCAAGGGAGCTGCCTGCTTTGTGCACTGTGCCTGCCTCTGGAATGCCCGGTCCCAGGTCCTGCCCCTGCTGTGGGCCAGAGCCCCCTTCCCAATAAAGAGTTCACATCCTCAGATGACATTCCCCAAGTGTTTCCTTGAATCCTCTCTCTCCCAGGGCCTTCTGTCTCGGAGTGGGAGGATATTTGGGGGGGAAGGGGCTTGACTGGTCCTCCACCTTCCCCAGGAGGTGACCAGCCAGCCCCTGCCTCCCTGGAGAGTGGGCCCAGCCTCCCAGGAATCCAGAAGGCTGAAGAGGAGAGGTCTGAGGCAGCTCCAGGTGGGGGAGAGGATGGGACCTGGTGGAGGTGGCTTTCCTCTTCCTCTGGGGCTGACGGCAGGAGGGCTTGGGCTCCATTGGTGTGTGGGGCAGCAGCTGGACCTGGGGGAGAGGTGGGATGCTGGAATGGGGTGGGAATGGAGCCAGTGTCAGAGGGGTGAAGCTAAGGAAGGACTTGGGGCCAGCCAGCTGGGAATTGTGTCTGTGTGGGCCTGGGGGTGTGGAGGTAGAACCAGAATGGGATTAGGATTTAGAGGTGGGTTTCAGCGGTTTGGGAAGTAATCTATAAGCGAGAGAGGGGCTAGGTTCAAAGGGAGGAGCAGAAACTAAAACAGATGCAAGTGAGAAAGGGGAAGGGCAGAGTAATGGATTTTCGCTGTGGGCAGAGTTGAAGTTCAGAGGTGCAACTATCGGGGTAAATAATACAAATGTAGGCCCCCATTAGAATGTTGGGCCTCGCAGATGAGGAGGAAGAGGCTAAATTCTGTTTTTCCACCTCCAGGGGTAGAAGTCAGGTCGCGAACAAGGGACAATATACCCCCCTCCCCTCCATGGATTAGGATTTGGAGCGAGAGCCAGGGAGTGATAAAGACTCAGGAGATGGGCAGTGCAGGGCAGGGGCCTGTAAGGCTGGCATGAAGGAGGTTGGTTTAGGCCTGTGGGGTGGGATCGGAGAGGACAGTTCAGTGTGGTAGGGGAAGCCAGTGTGCCCACGCCCTTTGTTTTCCTACCACGTGTTGTCCAATTGCCCTGACCTCGCAGTACCAGATTATTTACTCGGTTGGGAACAAGATTCTGTGGGGGGTGTATGTTGATTCGTGCGTCCACTTCGGGGATTAAAGGAGTCTAAGCCCAAAAAACCGTTTAGCGCGGGGTGTGCTGTAGCCTGGCTCGTTTGGGATGAGGGGCGGGGCTCTCCGAGGATGTCCTAGGTCCGGGTAAAGGTTGGGTAAATTACTTCCCGACGCTGACCTCCCCTTCTCTCCCCAGAGGCGGGCCCCGAAGGTCAGGAGACGGCAGAGATCACCGACTTCCAGAGGGTGCGTTTCTGCAAGGTGGTGGCGGCCACATCGCCACCGGGGACAGCCCGCTGACCGCACCCGCCGACTGCGGCTACGTGCTGTGTACTAACCTCGCACCGCCCTGCCCCTCTATCCTCTGCTTCCGCTACACTCCAGCCAGGAGAGGGTTAAATGTAAGGGGGGAGGAGTCAGGGACAGTGAAAGGGGTGGGGCCAGGGCAATAGTCCGGTCTCACCTGGAATGCTGTGGGACCGGGATGGCTGAGACGCCCGCGAGTCGTTCTCCTATGGAGGCCGTGGGGCTTAGGTGCTGGTCCCCGGGCGGAGTTTCCCGCCTCCAGGAGCCTACATCTGGGGCATGGCAAATAGCCGGTACTTCTGCATTACTCGGACTCCGCCCCGTTTATTATTAAACGCAGTGCTTTTGCTGACCTTTGAACTGTGATTCTGGCAGGGGCAGGCTGGGTTGCTGTGCTTGGCGAGCTTTACCTTGGCAGAAGAGGCGGGAGGAAGGGGTCTTCCTCCACCTCCCTGATACCTATTCCCTCCCCACCTCCCACAGGCCTCCCCGAATTCCTGAAGACGCCGCTGGGAGGGGACTGAAGCTTCCCCGCCTTGATGGGGAGGGGGCGGCAGGAGGGGTTTAGTCTGGATTTCCAGACTCTGCTCTCTCCTCCCCAAAGCCCATTCCGGACCCTAGGGCTAGGGCGAGAAAGAAATTAAGAGACAGTTGCTGCGGAAGTGGTGTGATTGGTGTGTTGGGCGGAACGGGAACGTAGTAAGTTTAGATCTCAGAACACAGAGGGTGGAGGGCCAGGAGGAGGTAGGTCCCCCTGAGGGGCGTGGCTAGCCTGAGCGGGGGCTAGAGTGCTGGTTGAAGGAGTCAGAATAAGGGACAATGTTAGGATGTGAGCTTTGGTTGCAAGAGCTGTTTTAGATGGGGAGTTAAGGCTGGCGTGGGGCTCAGCCGCCAGTGGAGGGCAAGGTCAGAATATGATGCTGAAACCAGTGGAGAGAGGAGCAGCAAAGGGGTGGAGCGATGAGGCCGGGGGAGAAGCGGGCGGATTGCCTGTGGGAGCAGATTCTGATTCGGGAGAACAGGCAAATTAGAGCTGGGGCGGGGTAAAGGCTGGGGGGTGGGGCTTGTGAGATCCAAGCCCGGCAAGGGGGTGGGGCTCGGGGGCGGGGCTAGGTTTCTGGAAGATGTTTGAGGCCCCAAAAGGGGCAACGAGTTAGGGCGCGGGAAAAAGGCCAGGGAAAATAGGGCAGGACTATTTAAGAGGCGTGGGTATAACACCGAAGTTCGGCAGGAGTCGGCTGGGCCGAGACCTGCATTTGAGGAAAAAAATGTATTGCATTCCTTGGGGAGGGCCAGACTCACGTAGGGGCGGGGTCAGGGAGCTGTGGTTAAGCTTTAGCTGCTTGGTTGGCCGGAGGCTGAGAGGGGGCGGGCCTAGAACGTGGAATAGGCCCGCCCACGCAGGGGCGTAGTCATGGCTGCGGAGGAGGTTTATGACCCGGGAGATTGCGGAGGCGGTTCTATTAGGGGCGGAGCCCGGAGGGGGTGGGGCCTGTGGCGGGTGGCGGCGCCTCGCGGAGTGGGCTGCGGGCATGCGGGGCACGAGCTGCGTGGGCGGTGGCGGCGAGAGCCCAGGTAGCGCCGGGCTAAGCGAGGGACCGCGGGGCCGCTGGCTGCGCCTGGCTCCGGTCTGCGCCTACTTTCTCTGCGTCTCGTTGGCCGCCGTGCTTCTCGCTGTCTACTACGGTCTCATCTGGGTTCCCACGCGGCCCCCCGCTGCCCCAGCAGGCCCGCCGCCCAGCGCTCCGTATCCTCCGTGCGCCGCCCGCCCCGGCGTGCCGCCCGCCCGGGCGCCCGAGGCTGCCTCGGTGTCCTGCCTCCTGGGAGCCCCTGGCGGGCCGCGACCCCAGCTGCAGCTGCCGCGCAGCCGCCGCCGCCGCCGGAGCCGCTCGATGCCCGGAGAGACGCCGGAAGCCGCGGAGGAGCGAGGACCCGGGTAATCGTCTCCTCCATCCCGAGCTGGACCGCCGGCCTTTGAGAGCTCAGCGCCCCCACCGCGGATGCGCTTTTCCAGTTGGGCCCAGGCTCCCTGTTCACGACATTGCCAACCAAGCGTTTCTGGAGTTGGTATCCTAAAGAATGCGAGGCGAAGGGGAGCTGGCTGCGGGCCTCACCCATTGCGGCTCCTCCGCCGTCGGGCCGGGTCCTCCACCATCCGGCAGACCCCATGCTGACCTCAGCCTCCTGACACTCTCTCCTTAGGATTCTGAGCACAGAGCCCACAGCCCATTTCCTCCCCTTCTTGAATCTGCATATGCGTATATCCACCTGCAATAAACTCCAGTCCCAACAGCCTCCTGTGTTTTTCGTGTTGTTTTGCAGAGGTACTTCTCAAGTTTGTGAGTGCAAGTCCTTAATGGCGTCTGATTTTTGTCAGTCTTCCCCTCCTAGGGGGGCCCTTTTCTTCTGTCACCATCATGTAGATTTTGGGTTGAGGTGGGGAAAAGGGGCTTATCTGCAACAGGGTAGATGAAGGTCAGGCAGCGTGAAGGATTTCAGAGTTTCTGCCTGTTTGGGACGGAGGGCAAGTGCCTCTGGAGAGAAGCAGAGTGTCTGCCCTCCTGTTACAGCGGAGGAGGCAACAGGAGAGGTGGGATGATTTCTGGCAAGAGCTGAAGTTCTGGGAATTGTGATTAGTAGAAGGGTAATATCAGAGACAGAGGCTAAATTATTCTGAGATGTCAGGATACTGCTGGGAAGGAATGATGTCTTTCTGGGGTTTGTGAGTTGAGGGTGGACAGGGGTGGTGGTGGGGCTTCTTTGTCTCGCTGGAAATCACAGAGGAAGTTATCAAAGTAGTGTGCTGCTTTTGAAGATCAGTGCAACCTCTCTGGTCTGCAATGCTGCTGGTAAACCAAGGCAGAGAAACTCAGGTTCCACTGCGAGTTAGAGCTGGTTGAGTCTGTTTTCCTATTGGAAGATTGAGGCCTGGCTCTGGGCAAGCATTGGGCCCTGCACGCAGGAAGTGGTTTTTGTGTCCAGCTTCCTCCATTGCACTGGAGACTTTCTCAGGAGGGTAAGCTGAGCCTTCTCCCTCAGGCTGGGACATGTGTCGGCAGGGACTGGGTCAGGAATGTCACTCATTGCTTTCTTCCTCTCTGCCCCTTAGCACCATTTCCCAGAGGATGTCTCCGGACCAAAGAGGAAGTGAGGAAGCCAGCACCCCTTTACAGTTAGCATAGGTAGTAATGAATGGCACTGATTTTGGGGCCAAGATGGCCAGATTCAAATCGCAGCTCTTCCTCTCATTAGCTATGTGACTTTGGGCAGGTTACTCAACCTCTTTGGTCCTAGAAAATGAAGGTGATAGTATCTCCTAGAGTAAACTAGTGATCTCAAGTTCTTGGGACAGCTTCATATGTCTCTTTTCACCACCCACCTTTGACCCTCAGGCCTTTAAAAGTCACAGCTTGGATTACAAGGGATAACAGGTCAGACCAGAGCCCTGGACACCAGCAAGTGGTGAGTTAGAGGGATTTGACTCTGTCCACCTCCTTCTAGTTTCCAGTCTTCTTCTCCCAGCCCCGTGTCTCCTAATTCCTGTTTCTCTTCACGTCTCTTTCTGCCTTTCACTCTCTTTCCTTTGTCTCTTTCAATTTGTCTCTCCCTGATGTCTCTCAATGCTCTCTCTCTCTCTCCGTCACTCTGCTGTCTGACTTGCCCTCTCCTCTCTGCTACTCTCCATCCCAGCTCTCTCTCCCTTCCTCACCTCTCCCCAGCATTTTGCTCTCCTGCTTTACCTTCCTTCCTGTTTGCCCCTAGTTCAACCTCTCCATTATCCTACCTCCTCCCCCTTCTCTGTCTCTCTTCCTGTTTCTTTCAGTCTCTCTTTAGTGGCTCTCTTTAATCTTGCATTTTACAAATATTTATCAAGCATTTACTATGTGTCAGTCCTTATTTTAAGCACTGGGGGTCACAATAGTGAACCAGACAAATATTCCTGCTCTCAAAAGAGTTGGCATAGTGGTGGGGGAGACAGACAGGGAAGAGGATGAATAACTTACATATACGTTAATAAGTACAAAGGGTTAAGATAACCAAGGTGGAACTGCTGAAGAATGATGGAGTTGATGCAGTTGCTGGTTACCTGGGAGAAGCCTGAGGGAAGTGAGGCCAGGGCATGCAGATTTCTGGGAGAAGTGTCCCAGGAAGCGGGAACAGCAAATGCAAAGGCCCTGAGGCTGGAGGACTCAGGTCAAGTTCAAGGAACAGCCAAGAGGCCAGTGTGGCTGGAGCGGAGTGAATGAGGGGTGACTGGCAGGAGGTGAGGCAAGAGGGAATTGGGGTAGAGCCTCAGGGGCCATGATGAGGACTCTGGCTTTTATTTTGAATAAGGTGGAGCTGTGGTAGGTTTCTAAAATGGGGACGTAAGCCGACTAGGTTAACAGGACCCTGGGACCGCTCCTTGGAGGATGACCTGTAAGGGGTGAGGATGGAAGCTGGAGCCAAGGTGAGGGACGATGGTGGCTAGACCAGGGTGGTGGCCGGACAGGAGGGGAGAAGTGGGTGGTCAAGACCTGTGTGTGCGTGTAAATACCATAGCCTAAATTACCACTTTAACCATTATTTAAAAGCGTACAGTGGAGGGCGTTGAGTATGTTAGGTTATGCGTCCATCGCCACCATCCACAGGTCTTAGAGCTGGGAAAAGAGAGAGGGCGGGAGACTGGGTCAGAGGTGCCTCAGGCTGTTAACGGTGCTGAGAAGGGAGAGGGGTATGTGTGGGGTCCTTGAGCAAAGATCGCCCGTCTGAGGAGTCGTGGGTCTGGTGGCAGTCGGCTGGCACCAGTACCTACTGTGTTCTGTCACTGGGAGCAGCCCAAGGGAGGTCTGGCCTTGGCTCCAATGCGGCGGGACTGCAAGCTATGCTTTCAGCAGCAGGATCTCTTAGACCTCAGCAGCGCTCCAACATGGGGACCACATGGACTTAAATCATTTCTACTTCTTTCTTTGCACGAAGTTGGCCTCATCCCCAGTCAGCTTCGCGGGGTGCCCACAGATCAGGCACCTGTGAGCTCCTCATTCCCGTCCTTCGGTGAGCCGAAGGGTTTCCTTCAATCTGATTGGATCAACGCAAGTCACATGACATGTGGTAGGTGCTGGTTGGCTAAGACTTGTGTTCTTGAGTTACTCACAGGCAAGTAGAGGCGGGATTACTCCAGATTAAGGCCAATCAGGATCCAGCGCTGGATCTGGCCAAAGCCCGCCGGCATCCCAGCTCCGCAGCCAAAATGCAAGGTCTGGGACTGCCAAGAGTGACGGTCCTCCTGGATCCCGCTGTCTTGCCCCACGCCCATCCCTGGAATTGAAGTTACAATCAGAGCAGGAATGTCTTTACACGCACATGTGAGGGGCCTGCTATAGAGTCCGGTATCCCTTATCCTCAGTTCCGAATTCCAAAAAGCTCTGATAACCAAAGAATACTCCTTTGAGGGGTCATTTTGGCCCAGTCTCACATGATGGCAAATACGATTTATTTACACTCTTTATTTATCTCCTTTGGTGTGAATTTTCACACATTTTGCTGCAAATATATTAACATGCCTGATGGGGGTGGGGCTGCTTCAGGCCCCTGGGAGTGTTACATAATATATGGCATTTGCTCAAAATTACCTTTCTAAAATTGGAACAATTCTGAGTTCTGAAACACTTCTGTCCCCAAGGACTTCAGCTAAGGGATTGTGGACCTCTGATTGGGCATGCTGCCAAACTCAGATTCATCTTAATTATTTGTTCAACATTTATTTAATGGCGTTGAGAAGAAAGTCATTTTCCATTACAATTTTTTAAAAATAGAGAATAGCTTTCATTTACTAAGTCTCCTTTGTTAATTCGCTATTTTTAGTGTGTGTGTGTCTCTGTATGTGAAAGGGTGTGTGGATGTGACTGTGAGTGTATGTCCATGGGTGAGGTTGTGTCTCCTTGTATATGCTTGACAGTATTCCTGTGTGTGTGCAAATATAGGTCTGTGTGAGAGATTGTGTATAAGTGTGTGTTTGTGTCTGCATGTGTGTCACTGTGTTTGTGGACATCTGGTTGTGTCAAATTGTGTGTATGTGTGTATGTGACTGTGGGTCCATGTATGTTTGTGTTTGTGTGAATGTGCATGAGAGGCATGGTCAAGGTATAAAGGGAGTATGTAAAATCCTTATTTCAGGTGACCATCTCTGCCGCGTGTTAGAATTTCAACGGACCCTACAAAATTACGTATTTAGCAGAGAAATTTTGTGCTGTCAAGCAATACCAGATACTTCCACTAGAGGTCGCCTGTCTACCCTGGCTAGAAGAAATTTAAATGGCATTTTTGACATTTCATCTGGGAGTTGACGAAAGTGGAGGGACAGCTAGCTCACGCTCATCTCAGCTGGATACAGAGCAGCGGTTCTCAAACTTGTTGGTTTCAGGATCCTTTCACGCCTTTAAAAATTATTGAGGACCCCGAAGAGTTTTTGTGTTGTGTGGCTTGTATCTGTCAATATATAGGTATAAAATTAAGACCGAGAAGTTAAAAAAAAAAAATATATATATATATATATA